GCGGTGATGTGGGTGTTGTACCGGTCTGTAGTGGTGAAGAGAGAGCTGAGCCAGAAGGAGAAGCTCTCAGTTTACCGGTCGGCAGTGGCAGATTTAGGATTTTTCTGAGTAAGGGATCATAAAGAGGCCAAGTCTTTGTTCAACATCAAAAAGAAAAAAAAACTGTATAGGTCTTCTGGACGGGTTCTTCTCTAATGAAACGTTTCGTCTCTCCTCCAAGAGACTTCTTCAGTCTGAGAGTTTCAGGCAAAATTCAGGCTTTTGTGATGTGACTGATACTCACATCACATGGCTATCGTTGACACCTAATTAACACTTATTGTTAAACAGCAGGTAAAAACTAAAATATTTAAGATTTTCAGAACAATAAAAATTAAAATCAAAAATTGGCAAAACAATATCTAAAATTAAAAATACACTAATAAAATAATGCCTAAAACATAAAAAAGTGTAAAAATGCAAATTGTAATACCTGCAAAGCTTTAGCTAAGAGCTCAAATTGTTTGAAGAATAACAAGTAAAAACTAAAAATTAGGAAAACTGCTCAAATTTAAATTAGCAAGAGTAACAGCCATAATGATCAAAACCGTATCGAAAAGCTAAATCATGATAAAATAATCAAAACAACAGTTAAATGCAGCTAAATCTTAGCTAAAATTAGCAATATCTTAAAGCTAATATTAGCAAAACAGTATCTTAGAGCTAATATTAGCAGGCAGCATCTAAAAGCTAAAATTATCAGAAGTCTAATTTAAATATCTGAACGTTCAGCTGTGTAATATAGTATAAAGTGTAAAGAGGAAATCAACAGAGTGAACTCTGAGCAGATAAAGGAATGATCTGAACTGAATATTGACTTTGTTCAAATTCAGGATTGGTTGTCATGAATCTGTTCCCTAAATAAATCTGACATAAAACATCAGAGCACGCAAACAGAAAAATGTATGTTTTCCATAAAAGAAATCTAATCAGCTTGCTGTAATTCGTCAGACAGACAGCAGCTGATGGAGAGCAGGTCTGCAGCTCATCAGACCGGAGGTCGGTCTGCTGCTGGTGAGCAGAAAGGACGGCCCAACATGGCAGCTGATTTGATCCGAGCTGCATCCTGATGGTTCTTTAGAAGAAAGACATGGGGAGCAGGAGGAGGGTTGTGAGTGTATTCTCCTGATCCTCAGCAGGTGCAAACCCCCCATTCAGACCACCCCCCGCTGCAAAGGGTTTGACCATCTGATTATGATTATTGGGATTTGTCTTTTTCAGACCTGTGGTTTGCACCGATGAGGTAGTGATGGAGGTTGATTGTGGGGGGGCAACTGATTGAGTGATCGATCAGTGCGACTTTTCACTGCTCAGCTGACTGATCGTGTTTTATACAAATCAACTGAATTCATTTCGGTATCTCCTGCTTCCAGAGACAAACGAGTATGTAATAGTGTTTTAGCCTGTGAATGTGTATCTCTCTGTCTGTTAGTAAAATATCTCATTACCACTGAATGAATTTTAATGAGTCTCTCAGAAAGTTATCACTGGGTGTACGTCTTATGGCCATTTGAAGTTTTGTGTTTAATTTCACCTAAACAGGAAACAGGTTCCTCTTCTCATGACGGCTGAGCCCCCCAAACAAACAATAACTGAGCTCTACGTGGTATTTCCTGTGCATTTTAATGTGTCCTCTTATAAACACTGAAAAGTACGTACAACTAACTAAATGTGAAATAAATAATACTATTAAAAGTAAAAGTAAGAGTTTTACTCGCTGCTGAGTTGTGGTGGGTAGCTGCCATCTTGATTTCTGAACAGGGAGTTCCCACTGGTGGGGTGTTCCAGTTTAAATTTACAACTTTATGTGGGAAATTCCTACTTCCCACTACAACTGGCCCACTGCAAAAGTAGCTGGGGGAAATGCATCCAAATGGAGATTTTACATGGGGAATTTCACCTGCTGCTGGCTACTTTTGAACCCATGTGCACCTTCAGGTTGGATGTCAGCACGTAAAATAATCAGCATGCATTATGGGAGATGTAGTTTAGGGTCAATGCTGGCTTTGAAACAGCATACACTTATTTGAAGACATTCATGCATTCGTGCAAAGGTTGTGGTGGGCCACATTTGGCCTGCTGGTGTTGTACGAATTTCAGTTCCCCTGTGAAAATCTGTTTCCCCCCCAGTGGTTAACCCAGAGAGAATCACCAGTCAGACCAATCCTATGAGGGAGGTATGAGATAGAATCTCATAATTAGATAGCTAAGTCATAATTATGAGATACAAGTTTTATTTTTTTTTATCAGTGGAAATGGGCTTCTATAGGMAGGCGCTTCCAACACAGAGGAAACAGATTTTCACAGGGGAACTGAATTTTGTACAACACCGGCCTTAAGTTTGACACCAGAGTCTGAAACTGCATGAAAAGATGAGGCTGACAGACTAGTGAAGATGTGCGTTTCTT